TTCTATTGTTGTGACTTAGATGACGTTCAGAGCACATTTTTTATGCCCAATTCATGCAAAACTCCACGTAATCCCAAGGGGTTTCACATACTTTTTCTTGCAACTGTATTTCTCCTCTCGAGGCTGCTACCTAATTTACTCACTGCTAAGATTGTCTCTAGATCTTGGTCTGGTCATGATCCTGTTCTATTAACGCTTTCTACCTTGACAACTAGGATGGATAACCCTCATTGGTGTCTTAATGAATTTTTCTTGAGCAACGAATCCTATCGTCTCAATATTTTTACTCATCTGAAATTCTATTATGAAACAAATAAAGCAGAGGACATGAATTCTGCTATAAATTGGACGGCCCATAAGGCCTCGGTTAGGGGCTTTCTTATCCAGCTATCCTCCCGACTCAAAAAGGCTTGTGATAAATTGATTTTGGCTAAATCCAAAGCTTATAGTATTCTTGCTGCCCAACATAAAAGGATTCCTGACCCTGATTTGAAAGCTAAACTTGACTATACCCGCATGGAACATAATACGGTACCGTATTTTCGCCGTATAAGACGCACTTTTTCTTCCCCAAAACTGGGGGGGAAAAGTTGGTGCGTCTTATACGACGAATAGAGAGAGAATCCGTGAGCGCGGCCACGGCCGTAGGAAAGGCCGCGGCTTTGGCCTATCTCTGGAGCGGTCGGCCATCTTAGTACACCCGGCGGTGCGCGCTGACGTCATCACCCCCTCTGCTCGTGGATCAGCCCTGAAGACCGGAACGGCGCGGGAACACGGCGAGAGGAACGCGCGGAGCAAAGGTAAGTGAATTGACACAATATGGGGAATGAATTACTATAGGGGGGATGAATTACTATAGGGGGGATGAATTACTATATGGGGTTTAATTACTATGGGGGATGAATTACTATATGGGGGATGAATTACTATATGGGGGATGAATTACTATGGGGGATGAATTACTATATGGGGAATGAATTACTATATGGGGGATGAATTACTATGGGGGATGAATTACTATATGGGGGATTAGTTACTATAGGGGGGATAAATTACTATATGGGGGATGAATTACTATGGGGGATGAATTACTATATGGGGGATGAATTACTATATGGGGGATGAATTACTATGGGGGATGAATTACTATATGGGGGATGAATTACTATATGTATTGGGTTCAGAATCTTTTTTTTCTAGATTTTCCTCCTTTAAAATTGGGTGCGTCTTATATTCCGGAGCGTCTTATATGGCGAAAAATACGGTATATGCCTCACTACTACGGCAGATAAACAGTTACATTAGGCTAATCACAAAATTTTCATGCGGCGAGATAGACCGGGCTCCCTGCTGGCACGTTAGTTATCTTCCAGGTACTCTCATATAGCTTCCCTAAAATAAGATTATCAACTGGTAGCATGTCCCAAGACCCTTGTAAGAATTTAATTCTATTTATACTGACCTCTTTCATCAACCCCGAGAAACTGCCTCCCCGTCTATTAATCATTTTCTGTCATCTTTGACTCTCCCATCTCTCCAGGAGGCTCATAGAGACCTCATGGACCAACTTATCACTTGTGAGGAAATCCAGAAAGCTGTTAAAACTTTAAAAAGCTTTTCATAAATCACTGGGACCTGATGATCTTCCTCATAATTATTATAAAACCTTTTCAGATCTTTTGGTTCCACATATGGCTCTTTACTTCAATCATATACGGATGGGGGTTTAATGCCATACAATGAGAATAGAGCATACAGTATATTAGTGTCAATCCCAAGCCTAACAAAGATGCCATGGCTGTTCTTAATTACCGCCCTATTTCTCTGATCAATTGCGATTTAAAGATCCTGTCAGGGATTCTGTCGCCGTGCAGCCGTGCGATGGCGACGGATCCCCTCAAGCCATGGTGGTGCGAGTGTGCATGCGTGGGAGAGTGCGGGCGCATGTGCAGAAGCACAGAAGTGTGCGCATGCGCAGTAGCGTACACATCACCGCTAGGCGGGCTAATTAAACCTTCAGAACAGGAGATCCGGATGCAGGCCAGAACTCCGCCTGCACCGACCTCGGTTATCCCTGACCATCCGCTTGCCTACTCCCTTGTACTTGATCTGCTCGCTTAATACTGACCTACCTTGTCTGACCCTGCTGCACCTACTTACCTGTACCTGCACCTGGCTTGCATCCTGACAGCTGCCATACTTACCTGATGCTGCACCCACGGTCCTGCACCCGGCCTGCATCCTGGTCACTGCCATGGTTACCTGCTGCTGCCCCCACGGTCCTGCATCCGGCCTGCATCCTAGTCACTGCCATACTTACCTGCTGCTGCACCCATGGTCCTGCATCTGGCCTGCATCCTGGTCACCAGCATACTTACCTGCTGCTGCACCCACGGTCCTGTACCCAGCCTGCATCCTGGTCACAGCCATACCTGCCTGCTACCGCATCCCTGCTCCTGTGTCTAGTCCAGTCTGCATCCTGATTGCTGCCATACCTGCCTGCTGTTGCACCTACGTTCCTTCATCCGCACCTGGCCTGCAGCCGGATCTACTGGGTCCCCAGCTACCTGCCGCCAGCTCCAGATCTACCCGGCACTCGTGCCACTTCTGGCTTTGCGCCCTCTGTTCCCACTATCAGGGGCTCCGAGCGGGAGTTGTAAGAAGACGCCTTCTCTCCACATCAGGCTCCCCAACCAGGTACATGACAGATCCTTACTAAGGTTTTGGCCTTGCGCCTCAATACGTTTCTGGCAAACTACATTCATGATGACCAATCAGGGTTTATTCGAGGACGTCAAACTCTTGATCAGATCTGTCAAACTTTAGCATCGATCTTCACAAGGTGTTTGATAGTTTGACCTGGGACTACTTATTTCATACGTTGGCACCTTTGGGTTTGGCTCCACCTTTATTTCCCTATTATGAGCTTTATATTGTAATCACTCGGCTCAGGTTTCTATTCGTGGTATAAATCGGCTCCTCTTCATATGAGATGGTGTACTAGACAGGGTTGTCCAGTCTCCCCCTTACTCTTTGCACTGGCAAAAGAACCCCTTGCTATTGCTATTTGTTCCCATACTGACAGCACGGTTATCCAATGTGGCCAACAAGACCACAAATGTGCCCTGTTTGCCAATGATGTTCTTATGTATGTTTCCAATCCCCGAACATCTTTGCCCAATTTGTTGACTTTGCTTCATCAATTGTCTCTGGCTTCGGGATTCACTTTAAATTCTTCTAAAACAACTGCTCTCAACATTACTTTATCCTTTTCGGAGGTATAGAACCTTCGGGACAGTTTCGATTTTCAGTGGGTTACCCAGTCTCTCCCTTATCTAGGGATCCATCTTACACACTCTTTGGCGACATTATATTGTGCCAATTATCCCCCACTTTTTAAATGACTCAAGGAAGATCTGCATAGTTGGGGGTACTTCCCCTTGTCTTGGTTTGGTAGAATCAACTCTATCAAAATTACCTTTTTACCAAGATTACTCTATTTTTTTCAGACATTACCAACTACGGTCCCCAGAGGAGAAATACTGCGATTACAATCAGAAATATCTCGATTTGTGTGGGAAAATAAATGCCCCGATTAATAATTCAACACTGTATTCCCAGATAAAGCATGGCGGTTTGGTACTTCCCAACCTCTTGGCCTATTTTCATGTGGCCCAGATAATGCAGCACTCCTACATTACAGCCAAGGGTCCTAAACCCCAATGGGTTAGTATTGAAGCCCTATTTTGTCATCCTTATGCTATCGTCTCTCTTATGTGGCTTCCCAATCGATTGCCTCTTCCCATTTTATGCCCTACATTATCTTATTCTTTAGCAGTATGGGATAGGCTGTGCATCCGTAAATCCTTATCTTTCCCCCATACCCCCTTAGTTCCTGTTTCTTTGGAATCCTGAATTCGTACCTGGGCTTGTGCCGTCTTTATTTCAGTGGTGGATCAATAAGGGCTTTCTACGTATCGGGGACTATTTAGATGGATATCCGCATATTCAATCTTCTTTACTCAGTGACAGGAGTGAATGTCCATAGGTCCCCAGAGGTGGCCCTTTTTGAGAAATTGCCCTCGGGTATCCCCAAGAAATTGGTCAAACTGATTCTTTACATTCTCCTGGCTGCAAGAATTACGATAGGTAAATACTGAAAGCGATCGGTGATACCACTTGATTATGTCAAAAATAAACTTAATTGGATTATGATATATGACAAACTTACCTGTATTCTTATTAATAATGCCTCAAAATTCGACAGTACTTGGAATCCATGGATTCGATACCTCTCCATCCCTTAATGGGTTCATGGCTGAATTCCTGTACTTTACTCTTTCTTTTATGCTCTTCTTTCTTTCTTCTTCTACATTTTTTTGATTCCGACATTCCACTTTGCTGTATTATATACGGGTGTCTGACTACAGGCTGATTATGCCTATGATTATTTGTTTCTCATTGTGCACTATATACCAGACTCCTGTTTACTATTGAGATTTATTATCTTGATCTGTAGACTGCACCAGAGGGATTGTTTGGTCCCGTACCTAACTGCTCAGTCTGATTTTTTTTATCCCTATATTTAATGCCTGTGTCATTTATTTTTGCAGCGATTATTGTTTGGAATTTTTGACTTTCACATTCGTTGGTCTTGTTGATCTGTATGTTGTTTCTTTTAATAAAAACATTGATATATAAATATAGGCACCACATCAGCCTTACACCAATCCAGTGGTACTATGCCAGTCTTTAACTTGTTGCCGACCGCAGATAGCCGAATGACGGCTGCACTGCGGCTGGCCAGTTCTGAGTGGACGTCATATGACGTCCCCCCAGAACGCGCTCTCCTGCGCGCCCCAGGGGGCGCGCACCCGGCGATCTCCGTGATCGCTGTGTCCTACGGACACAGCTGATCACGTGATGTGGTAAAAGGCCAATCACAGCGGCCTTTACCACCTGATCAGCGGTGTCCAATGACACGCTGATCATAGGGAAATGCAAGTGCTGGTTCTCGGCTGCACTTTCCTCACGCTGTCAGATCGTGAGGAAAGTACTGCCGAGAACCGGCAGTTGTCAGAGCGGGGATCGGCACCGATCATCAGGGCACTGATGATCAGTGCCCTGCTGATCGGTGCCCAGCAGTGCCACCCGCAAGTTCCGCCCACCTGTGCCCAGCAGTGCGCCCACTAGCTCCGCCCACCTGTGCCCAGCAGATCACCCACCTGTGCCCAGCAGTGCACCCACCTGTGCCCAGCAGTGCACCCACCTGTGCCACTCTGCAATGTCACACACCTGTGCCCAGAAGTGCCACCTACCTGTGCCCAGCAGTGCCACCCACCTGTACCCACCCACCTGTGCCCACCAGTGCCACCCACCTGTGCCCACCAGTGCCACCCACCTGTACCCACCCACCAGTGCTGCCCACCAGTGCCACCCACCAGTGGAGTCAACCAACTTCTGGCACCTGTGAACAGGTATTCCAGCCCAGGATGATTGGACTACATTCCACAGTTCTTCTCTATTTCCTGGTTTTGCCTCAGAAACTGCATTTTTGATGTCACCCCACAAGTTTTCTATTGGATTAAGAGTCGGGGATTGGGCTGGCGTCAATCTTGTTGGTCTGGAACCAAGATGTTGCACGTTTACTGGTGTGTTTGTGGTCTTTGTCTTCTAGGAACACCCATTTCAAGGGCATTTCCTCTTCAGCATAAGGCAGCATGACCTCTTCAAGTATTCTGATGTATTCAAACTGATCCATGATCCCTGGTATGCGATAAATAGGCCCAACACCGTAGTATGAGAAACATCCCCATATCATGATGCTTGCGCAACCATGCTTCACTGTCTTCACAGTGTACTGTGGCTTGAATTCAGTGTTTGGGGGTCATCTGACAAACTGTCTCCGGCCACTAGACCCAAAAAGAACAATCTTACTTTCATCAGTCCACAAAATGTTGCGTCATTTCTCTTTAGGCCAGTCAATGTGCTCTTTGGCAAATTATAACCTCTTTAGCACATGTCTTTTATTCAACAGTGGGACTTTGCGGGGGCTTCTTGCAGATAGCTTGGCTTCACATAGGCGTCTTCTAATTGTAACAGTACTCACAGGTACCTTTAGACCTTCTTTGATCTTCCTGGAGCTGATTGTTGGCTGAGTCCTTGCCATTTTGTCTATTCTTCTATCCATTCGAATGGTAGTTTTTCGCTTTCTTCCACATCTTTCAGGTTTTGGTTGCCATTTTAAAGCATTTGTGATCATTTTAGCTGAGCAGCCTATCATTTTCTGCACTTCTTTATATGTTTTCCCCTCTCCAATCAACTTTTTAATCAAGGTACGCTGTTCTTCTGAACAATGTCTGGAACGACCCAATTTCCTCAGAATTTCAGAGAGAAATGCACTGTAACCAGCATGTACAACATTTGCTGCCTTTCTTCCTTAAATAAGGGCAATAATTGCCACCTGTTTTTCAAAGAATGAATGACCTCACTAATATAACTCCACACTGCTATTATTTTGAAATGCCCCTTTCAATTAGTGATTCAATTACACAGAATCAGCAGCATGCATGTCATGACTGTTGGGTCTGTTGGATTTCTATTACTCTACTACACCTGCTAGTAAATTATTTGCCATGTAGAAATATCATTTATACCAAAAACAGTGATTGATCAGGTTAGTGATGATGTCTGACTGCTATTATTTTGAACACAACTGTTCAAAATAATTTTGGACATTTTTTATATATATATATAATTTTGGAAATTTTTTGGACAATGTCCAAAATTGCTTGAAAACATAAACACGTGCTCCAACAACGAATTTGTGCAAGTGATGAAGTGTATGCGTGGTCACAGCAATAGTGTAAATCCTCAAGTGGCCAAAATGCCCCCTCACCTCCTTGCAAGTGACCAAGGGCCAGCTCGCTTTTTAGGATCACACCCAGGGGCGGACTGACAACTCATGGGGCCCCCGGGAAATAGGGGATCATGGGGCCCCTGTGTCCTTGCCCAAACTCAAAAAAGCCTATGAAAAAGGTACCAGGGGCATCTAATGGGGCCCCCTGCTGACCCCGGGCCCTCGGGCAGTGCCCGAGTTTCCAATTGGTCAGTCCACCCCTGATCACACCACGATCCTTACAGGTATTTGTTCGTCACAGGACAATGTCCTCACTGGATCCCATCAATGGTGGCACTTACTCCTCTCCTTTAAGACCTCCTCCAGACACAGGTAACAGCAATAACACTCTCTCCCATAAAGGATCATATCAATAAAGCAAAAAGATCCTCCATAGTGTAATCATGTTTATTTTGTGTAAAACTTTCACAAAAATAAAGATTGCCCATTCACATTTGCTCCATAAAATGCCAACTTTTCACCTCATGTTTTGGGTGTTTGGGTGTACTGCATGGGTAGTAAAAGGTGTACCAAAATGGCGACCACTCCGGAAATGACATCACCGCATACCGAAGTTACGGTATCACCGCATACCAACGCGTTACGTCATGCTAGTCACGTGAATTTGAATTTGGAATTTGTTCATATTTTTTTCAAACTATAGTCTGGCCACCCAACAGTGTGAAGGTCAGTGAACTGGCCCCTGTTTAAAAAGTTTGAGGATCCCTGCTCTAGAGAATAAAATAATGGTAGTTCCAATTTTTCTTCCCTTCACTGGAACTAAGGGGCCAAGCTCAACCCCAGAAAAACAACCCCACACCATAATCACCCCTCCACAAAACTTTACACTTGGCACAATGTAGTCAGGCAAGTACCGTTCTGGCAATCACCATACACAGACATGTCCATCCGATTGCCAGACAGGGAAGCGTGATTGGTCACTCCAGAGAACACGTCTCCTCTGCTCTAGAGTCCAGTGGCGGCGTAATTTACATCACTGCATCCGATGCGTTACATTACATTTGGTGATGTAAGGCTTGGATGCAGCTGCTCGACCATGGAAACCCATTCCATGAAGCTCTCTATGCACTGTTGTTGTGTTAATCTTAAGGACACACAAAGTTTGGAGGTCTTTAGCTTATTGACTCTGCAGACAGTTGGCAACTTCTTTGCACTGTACACTTCAGCATACGCTGACCCCACTCTGTCATTTTACATGGCCTAATACCTAATGGCTGAGTTGCTGTTGTTCCCAGTTGCATCCACTTTGTTATAATACCATTAACAGTTGACCGTGGAATATTTAGTAGTAAGGAAATTTCATGGGTAGACTAATTTAACAGGTGGCAACCTATCACAGTACCATGCTTGAATTCACTGAGATCCTGAGTGCAATCCATTCTTTCACAAGTGTTTGTAGAAGCAGACTGCATTCCTAGGTGCTTGATTTTATACACCTGTGGCCATGGAGGTGATTGGAACACCTGAATCCATTGATTTGGAAGGGTGTCCCAATACTTTTGGCAATATACTGTAGTGTATTTATCAGTCCCTATGGCATAAGGGTGCAGGTTGGAGGGTGCATAATCCTGCTAGTTATAGGTATTCGTATCCTGTCCATGATGATATTGTTTCCCACTATATCTGATGGTTTATTATCCAACTGTGGTTTTTTTTTTGCTCAAGTCCTGTCATTCATGTTTGGTAAAAATGTAACTTACAGATAGGATTACTGGAGCATGAGAAAACTTACCTTTTCTAATAGGAGCCCAGTGGGGCTTGGAATACCATTTATAATGGTATAACTTTTTAATAATCAAAAACAAAGGAAGGGTGAACTGTGCTGTGTTTGGCATTGATAAATTAGAAGTTGACATTTATGGTGACTGTCTCTCCCTTCCTTCTTTTTGGGTTATTCAAAAGTTATACATACAGTGGCTCACGGCTGTGGAGAGGTAGCTCTTGCACCTGGGAGACAAGAGAGACAAGTATTGCCTGGAGAGGAGCATGGAAGATTTATAATGGTATGCATATGAAATGGAGATCTTTTTGGTTATTACTGTATGCACACTAATGGACATTAATATGATGTGACATGATGTGTAAGGATACCAATGTTTCTGAGGACAGGTGCAAGGACATGAGCGTTTTACAGGATTGAGGACAGATTCACAACCTCAGTGCTAAGTGCATATTGTATTTTGCCTTATGGGGATGAATAATCTGACATGATATTTATATGGGTTGTCAATGATATGTTTGGTATAATACATTGTGACGGAGGTATAACTTTCAAATACCCTAGAGCGAATGTGGCAACATTGCTGATCAATACAAAACATATATTTACTGTGAATTACTTTGCATCACTGAAACACACCTGTTTTATGTATCTGTTATATGTACCTGTGGATTGAAAAATACAAATTCATGCAATATTTGTACATATTTGTGAGGATCTGATGCAATAGTAGGGTGATTCCCTTGTGGATTTATTTCCCATCTGAGGTGGAGGCAATTATTAAGCACTGTTATCAATAAAATGTATTTTTACATTGTGAGGAATTTATTGCGTTGGAATGTATAATACACAGTTTATGGTGGCAGCTTGGTGGCTGACACAAAGTACGTTCATTGAATAGTTGCAAAGACTAGGTTATGTAATTTGGACTGTATATCACATTTAGAGTTAGCATTATGTTTGCTGTTTATGTAAGCACTGTACTATATACATACAGTATGTATCTTTATACAAGCTGATTTAAAAGTTCCTTGATATGTTTTTATATCAGTGTATGCTTGTATGATGATTTCCCCTGACTCTCCATAGCCTGTAGGCTGCAGATTCACCCAGGAGAATTTTTTCAACCATAATCCACTGCATGGCTTTTGAACTACGGACAGCAGGCTGAAGCTGTACATATACTTTTAGAAAAATGTACAGATTACTCCATCCACACAAGCAAGGTGGATGGAGGAATCCTAATTGAGACATTGTATTCTGACAGCAGCACCCACAGCTGTCAGAATAGACTGATCATGGATGCAGCTGATTGGCTTCAGCTGCTGATCAATTAAAATGTTTCCAACATGTTCCTTGGACAGAAGTCAGTTGAGCAATCAGCATCTGTCATGCAGGGGAGCCCACAGAATGATTGAAATTTGGACTGACTGAACTTTGATCCACCAGTTTTAGAATGGGCAGTAAGGCAGCTTTTGGTTAAGCCAGCCACCTCAATGTAAAAAGAAGAGGGAGGGGAACCAGGGCAGCCATAGTGTCAATTATTTTGAAGCTGCTTTGGGGAAAGGATAATTCCAGTTGTAGCTGTCTGGACAATCAATCCCTTTTTTGGCTTTAATTTTTTTTTGTGGTTCGGTCAGCGGTCACTTTTAACTGTTGTCCCATCCATAGCAAACTTTTTCTGTTTTTGTTTTAATATTATTTGGGCCATTTTCAAGTTTGGGGTGCTCAAAGTGGAGCATACACTTGTTATTGACCATCTGTACTTGGAGCTGTATTTTGTTCACAGCACACTACTGCATTGTT